CCCCCCCCATGGAGAATGGCAGACCTGCATACAAGAGATCTCGGTAACATCGCCAGGCTCACTTGTACAGAACAAGCGGCGGCTTCCCCGCTGTACCTTTAGCTTTGCTTGCCCAAAGCATGTCCCGGGCATGGGGAAATAGGAATTCCACACCCGTGTTGCCCCAAGGCCGGGCCTTGGTTGGCCTTTAGGAAATCCATCATGTGATCTTAGGCAATGCGGGATCATGGTTCACTAAAACTTGGTCACCTCTCTGCTATTGGACTGTGTTTATATAGTGAAGGAGCAGCAGTAGATGGATAAGCTAATCCTTCTCCCTCTACTCTGTCAACATGTTCCCTGCAGCACATACAGTTGTGCTCAAAAGTGCATACCCTTGGAGAATTGGTAATATATGAACCATTTTTAAAGAAAATATGAGTGAGCAGGCAAAACACATTTCTTTTGATTATTATGGGATTCATATTCATTTGTAGGTCAGAACAGAATGGCACAATCAAAACAAAAACATGGCAACAAATAAAAAATTAAATGACCCCAGTTCAAAAGTCTACATACCCTTAGTTCTTAATACTGTGTATAGCTCCCTTTAGCATCAATGACAGCATGCAGTCTTTTGTAATAGTTGTCTATGAGGCCCCGAATTCTTGCAGGTGGTATAACTGCCCATTCATCTTGGCAAAATTCCTCTAGGTCATGCAAAGTCTTTGGTCATCTTGCATGAATCGCACGTTTGGGATCTCCCCAGAGTGGCTCAATGATATTAAGGTCAGGAGACTGTGATGGTCACTCCCGAACCTTCACCTTTTTCTGCTGTGACCCTTGTGCTTAGGGTCATTGTCATGCTGGAAAATCCAAGAGATTCCCATGTGCAGCTTTCATGCAGAAGAATGCAAAGTGTCTGTCAGCATTTTCTGATAACATGCTGCATTCATCTTGCCATCAATTATCACAAGATTCTCCGTGTCTTTAGAGCTCATACACACCCAAAATATCAGTGAGCCACCACCATGCTTCACAGTGGGGATGGTATTCTTGCTGCCTTTTTGAAACCTCTCCATTGTTTATGGTTCTGACCTTAAAGCTCTATTTTGAGCTTGTCACAGCAAATTACAGTGTGCCAGAAGCTGTGAGGAGCATCAAGGTGTTGTCAGGCATATTGTAATATCGGGCTTTTTTGTGGCATTGGCACAGTAAAGGCTTCTTTCTGGCAACTAGGCCATGCAGCTCATTTTTGTTCAAGTATTGTCGTATTGTGCTCCTTAAAACAACCACATCATCTTTTTCCAGAGCAGCCTGTATTTCTCCTGAGGTTACCTGTGGGGTTTTCTTTGTATCCCGAACAATTCTTCTGGAAGTTGTGGCTGCAATCTTTCTTGGTCTATCTGACCTTGGCTTGGTATCGAGAGACCCCGAATTTTCCACTTCTTAATAAGTGATTGATAGTACTGACTGGCATTTTCAAGGCTTTGGATATCTTGTTATATCCTTTTCCATCCTTATAAAGTTCCATTACCTTGTTACACAAGTCTTTTGACAATTCTTTTGTGCTCCCCATAGTTCAGTATCTAGCCCGCTCAGTGTATCAACATGAGAGTTAACAAACTCATTTAGAATGTAAAAACGCCACATGTGGGAAATTAAACTTTAATTGCCATTTTAACCTGTGTGTGTCACCCTGTGTGTCTAAAGGTGGCCATACACTGTACAACCATCGCAAGACCTTAGTCTTGCGATGGTTGTAAAGTGATCTTAAAAACGTACGATCTGCCCATCTTGGACAGGCAGACCGTACTCTCAATCATCGCAAGCCCGCCCCCCTGAGGGGTGGGCTTCCGATGGCCGCAAGCTGAACGGGCAGTGTGCGCGTGCGCACACCGGCCCGTTCGGCATTTGTTTCCCCGAGCACCGTTCAAACCAGCCGAAAATCGCACGATTTTCGGCTGGTTTTCTAGCGTGCTCCTTAGACAAAAGACGTGCGATCGAACAGTAGAAACAGTCGCACGTCTTCGTTCACACTGCTCGATTCTCATACGATCGCGGGATTTCCCTCGATTCTCGTACGAGAATCGAGCAGTGTATGGGCACCTTAACAAGGCCAAACATTCCAGGGTATGTAAACTTTTGATCAGGAACATTTGGTTGATTTCTGTTATCATTATGATTTAAGAAGCAGTCAAACAACTATGCGATAAGAAATGGCTTCACATTATCACTATCCCAAAATAAAAGACAGTTTTGTTGCATGATCAGTCATATTTTCAATATCATTGCCAAAATTTCACGATTTCTGCCAGGGTATGCAAACTTTTGAGTACAACTGTATGTAAACAGCAAACCAACAAAGCAAAGCCGCTCAACCTCCTATACCAATATCCAGGCTGAAACCACAGTACTCAGCGTCAGTATCTGCCAAACCCCATAAAATGTATTGTAGAGAAAAAGTCACACAAAAAGAATCCACTCAGAGCAAACTTTTTTACAGTGGCATTAAAAACAGTAGATAAAACATCTAAAGCAATTCAGAACTATACATGGGCCTAAGGCCTGGTTCACACCTGGGCGTTTTGCAGCGCGTTCCTACGCTCTGTAAAAACGCTAAACATGTGAAAACCAATGATTGCCTATGGGCATGGTTCCCACCTGGGCGTTTTACAGCGCTGCAAAACGCCCTACGCCCAAAGAAGTACAGGAGCTTCTTTGGGGCGTATTTGCCGCGCGTATCCGTTGGGATACAGCCAGGTAGCCCTCGAAAATGCGCATATTCGATACGCCTAGGTGTGAACCCAGCCTTAACCATAGCAATTATGATTAAGGCCCACGTACGGTATAGGGCTGAAATGCATTAGCTTTTTTGTCTGCTGTTTTTAATGCCACTGTAATAAAGTTTGTACTGCGTGGATCCTTTTTGTGTGTCGGTTTCTCTACAATACAATGCACCAACTGTTGGCCATCACTCTCCCAGTTCTACTCTACAAGGAATAACCAACTCAAATCTGGGTGCCTACACTACACTAGTACACTAGCACTTAAAATACATTAAAACATAATATTTTAATGCTTACATAAACTTAATTAACTGGAGTGTACTTGTGTCTGCCTGAAGTTCAGCTTGGAAACAGCAACAAGATATTACATGCTTTCCTAGGAATGGTCATGCACTAGTAATCCTGCAGTAACTGCTCCTAGTTCACTTTGCTCTGTACACAAACAGGAAGGTATTCTTCCCTTTTCCTATGAGCAAGGGTATGCCTGAGGACTTGTCCTGATCACTAGCAGTGCTCTAACTGGCTACATTGCGCTCAATAAATTTTCCTATAGCCAGCATTAGGGCCTTTTCAGACCAATATATTAGTGATACAATAGTAATTCAGGAGCTCTGCTATGGCATGTTTATTATGTTTAAAGTAAGATCTCCCTAACAATAACCAAATGTTTAATCAGAACACAGATACAAATTCTGGTCACATCACGGCATGCATGTATCAAAGATTCTACATACTTCAGTGTGGTGTGGTAATATGTACAGAGAATGTATGCACTTGTACTACAAGTCCCTCTGCCGCAATGGTAGACAGGACTTGTAGTCTCTCCATTCACAGATCCTATCAAAAGGATCTGTGAATGGATGACATAGCTGTGTGGGAGTCATGCCCAATTCAAATTCTGATAGGAGCCAGGGGGGAGAAGAATGCTGGGATTCAGGCAAGTGGGGGACAGGTTGGAGACGTGACCCTGAATATGGATGTAACATAAAATGTGGTTGAAAAGGTAAACAGACTTTAAAAGCACAAAATTGCATTGCAGCACACCTAACATTGCAACAAGCGATCTCATGCAATGCAGATCGCATTAGGCATTGCACCACAATGCATGGTAATAGGTTAGTCAAGGCCTTGTCTGCATTATCTATTTTCCAAACGAAAGTACAGCCCTCCATATTGGTTGCCATAGAAAATGGAGCCATTTCCCCAGGGGACATTTTTTATAGTAGTTATCATTCAGCTTGGCAAATAAGAGATCGTTGTTCATTCATTCATGCCAGGCTTCTCAATTTTTATTTGACAGCTTCTGGCTGAAAAATCCAAGCGTCAGCTTACACCACTACTAGATGGGTCACCTGATGTTCGCCATGCAATGTCTGCTCATGAATTACACACATCAACCGCTATTTATACAGTTATCTCAGAATGGGACAATACAGAAAATATCCTACACAAAAACATAGAAAAGGAAATCACGCCATCGAACAGAATATTATACTGAACCTATTCAACCCCCACCCCGGTATCATGCATTGCATCTGATGCCCAAGACAAAGGCACACCAGAAACAGACCACTGGACAATTGTTTCAGAGGCCAATACAGATTGATGTCAGGGGATCTAAAATGTAATTGAGTTCCCAAGCAAGCAGAAGAGACATACACTGGACTATAGGGAAGCAGGGGTGTGGCAGACGTATCACACATACATTAAGGATACCAGCTGATAAGACTTGATCAGCATCTCTTTAATGTATGGAAGGTTAAAAGAAGGTCAGAGATAGAAAGCCATAAAAATTCTATAGAGTACCCATGAATGCAGCGGTTCCCAGTCACAGCATACATATATGCCAGATCAAATCTTTTTCGCAATGATCAAACTAGAACATCATGAATGAATAAAGCAGCGAATGGTTCATTTAATAACATTAGGTAGCATGGATGCCATCTTCCTCCATTGCACATGTCATGTCAATACCATTTACAATAACAAAAAATTAAAAAAAAAGGCCTTGTAGTGAACCAGTCACCAAGTACCATCACCCTTCAAGGTGGTTACTGTTAACCCATGCAGGCCTAGGAGCATGTGATCTAAGGAAACCAAAACGAATGCCATATTTTTCACAAACATTTGGGAGTGGGCAGCAATAGATGGTCCACTGCAGGCTGTGGGATTTAACCCTGCACATCCCAGTGATCTATATGCTTGGTCATAGTAATAAAGAAGAGTGCTTACAGTCAAGGTGCTTCTTCTTTGGCCCCATGACTTCATGAGTGGTGGCCTTGCACACAGCCCTGGCCACTGCCGAGCCTGTCACACTGTACTGTGCGGCTGCGATGCGATCTGTCAACGTCTGGCCCGACATCTTCTCTCCTGTGACAAGAGACATCCACAACACATCAGTACAATGCCATCCCCGATCGCAGCAGCATGCAGCTACACGGACATGTTCCCTTCATCTAGCCATCCATTTGCAGCATCTGCGGAGGAGCCAGAGCCATGGATGGTGCAGAAGGAGACCACATCATCATTGCTCGTATCCTAGTTACTGCAAACCAGAAAGCCCTCCTTTCCCAACACTGGCACCATCTGATGCTGCAGTGAGCCCCCCCCCATGCTGCTATTATGCACCCCCACTTCTGATCGGAGCACAACACCCTGCAATGAGCACCTGGTCAGCCTTCCGATGAAGCAAGCCCCCCTTCAGATGAACAGCACCACCACCGAGGTCTTGTCCCTCAGAATACAACACATCCTCCACCTCCTCCTCCTCCCTGTTATCCTCCCTGGCAGCCTGGGATTAGAATATCACCGCCCCACCCCCACCTGCACTCTCACATCTCTCCCTTCTAAATTATTAAAGGGGCAAAATGCTGCCTGATGCCTGCACAGTACCTAGCGCTCCGGGGATCCCCTGCATAGCCATGCGCTGCGATCGTGATACATCAGACAGCTGACTGCATTGCATGCCTCGAATGCTGCCAGTACATAGGGATCAGTGCCTAGGATGGGACTGGATCACATTCTGTAGGGGTGCCTAGAGGATTTCATTGCACACAGTAGCGCAGCCTTGGGCTCAGTGCTTGCTACAAGAAGGATGCTCAGACCTGTGTGTGCCTCTGCGGGTTATTTTCTTCTGTCACTCCCTGACCGTCGTCCTCCTCCTAGTGTAAGTGATGCTGGAGAAGGGAGAGACTAAGCTTGCTCCCCCCA